AGTCAAAAGGGAGAGAGGGCGCAAATTACAGAGGAGCTGGTTGACTTGAAAATGCAACGTGGGAATCTCTACCGCATGGATTACAATGAAGAAGTYATAAAGGGGAATCCGCCCCGCCTTGTTTTAGCCAGAGCTCGTTCACGACTCGGTGACAAAGGCTACCACCTCTTTAGAGATAACTGCGAATCGTTTGCGACATTCTGTAAAAAGGGAGTGGAAAGAAGTCAACAGGTTCGCTGGCTACGGAAAGGGATGGTTGATCAATTAAAGAGAGCCCTCAGTTCGCTTACCGCGAAATCATGCCAGCTCCTAAAGGCGTCCATCTTTCCAAGTGTTGAGGTGACTACCGCAGAAGCAATAGAGTCAATAGCTAACAACTTGCAATGGATTGGTTTTGGTCTTGTAGTTCTCATGGAAGGTATAATAACAATTATCGACATCAAAAAGCTGTACAAAGACAGAAAAAGTGGCAATCTAACAAGGAAAGTTTTCATTGAAGAAGTCACAAAACGAGTCACGGAGGCGATATTTGCTGGTGGACTGGCGGCTGCTGGTGGTTTGGTGGCTGGACCAGCTGGCATCTTTGTGGGGATAATTGGTGGAACTTGTGGAAAACTTGTCGGTTCCTGGCTTGGACCTAAAATTGGTCGAGCAATAACGAGGTTCATAAAGACGGATGACAAAGCAGTAACAAAAATCACAGAGTTACAAACTGGAGACCATATAGTTTTGAACCGCCACTTTGCTCATCCAAGGCATCATTGCATCGTTTTATGGCATGACGGAATATCCAAAGTCAATGTTATACACAACACTTATCATGACGGCGTAAAACAAGAATGGGTAGACTTTGTCGTTCCAGTGTACAAAGTCATCTACGACGAAAAGGACTGCCACTCTGACAATGAAGTTTTGGCAAGAGCTGTTTCTAAGCTTGGAGAAAGCTCCTACGATTTGATAAAGTACAACTGCAAACATTTTGCCGCATGGTGCAAGAAACGCTAAAAAAAAGATGATAGCGTAAAAAGTTTTGCAGCCCTGCCAACACCACCTTGGCTTTTGTTAGTACTAATGGATGCTGTGTCATTACACCGTTGTGTGCTTTAAATACTAATTTCGATTACCATACTTTTTTAAAAACACACAGTAAGTGTCACATTTACACCGTGATATGAATGAATGATCTGAATGATCGTAATGATGATGATGATGATTGATACACCAAATTCGGGTTTACATAACCCAATCGAACTGTAAAAGCAAGCCAATCGAACTGTGAAAGCGGTGCCATTGCCAGTTAACATAATTTTGGTGTTTCTTTACACTGAAAAGGTGTCCAGGAGCCCGTTTCTCGAAAGGCCCGGAAACTTTTCGGGCCCGCAAAACCATTTTTAGTTTATCGTTATTTTAAGACAGAGGTGTATACGCCTGAGACTCCTTGTATGAAGGGGACTTCTGTTCATGTCAGTTAAAAACATGTGAATAAAACAGCTCTGTAATCATGAGGTTTGAGATTTTGCTACGGCTTTCCGGGTGTGAAAACGTTTCGGGAACTTCGAGAAACGGCCCCGAGGTCGAACTCAACTGGTGCGAAACATCTTGCAGCTGTGCGGACAGTGAAGTGGACCCGTTACGTAGGTTACTTGGCACAGTATTAAGCCCTGACCAAACGGAGTCACAAGTCATCCCAAGTTTGGGAATGCCCACTTGCGTACCAACTTGCGTCGGTGGCCAAACGGACTCGCACGCAGGTACCCGCAGGTTGTGGCCAAACGGAGTCAAATTTGAAACTTGCGATGACTTGCGACTGCGTTTGGCCAGCGCTTAACGTGTTACCGGACCGTAAGTCTTTATAAGCATATATATTCAAACCATGAGTTCCATTTTTTCGTCCAAATGCCATGCTACAGTTTACTAAAAATGATGGGACGGTACCCATTCGTTGTAAAAAAACGCGTATCTTGCTTTCGTTTCCTGAAAGTTTTTACATGTTTTTCACTGAAACGCACGGTAGAGGACTGGGATTAGTGGTGTAACCATTGTCTTTTTGTAGTTAAGAGCCATCCCCCTTAACATGATAAAACTGAAGTAATTTTCTTTCTTAAAGGAAATTTTTTGTCCCCAACCTGGGGAACGCGCAGCTTTTTTTTGTTCCATGGCCCGGATCTTTGGGTGGGGTTATCACTGGAATTGATTGAATTTGTAAGCAAATAAATCATATTTTTCGATGACATTGGAACAAGTTGTGCTTTCAACTCTCTAGATGGGGTTAAAAGGAACGTTCTGAATTTTTCAAAATATCTTCGAAAATCTCTTTTTCTATAATAACTTCAGAATGAAGTTTTAAAATGAAGTTTTTTCATCGGATGTTTTCTGTAGACTCCCTTCACTATAAAGACAAATTTTTCACAATATTTTCGAAAGTTCTTGTTACATAATAAAATTGATCCTCTTTCTATGATAAGTGTAAAATGAAGTTTAAAAACGAGGATTTTTCGATGTTTTCTGTAGACTCTCTTTGAGATAAAAACAGTATGACAATCAAGTTTTGGGGAGCAGTTCAAGCTCGAGAAGTATTGGAAATCGAGCTCGATATTCGGAGTGCGATTGTCACTCGAGTTCGACAGGTAACTCGAGCTCGAATAATGTGAATGG